CGAGTGTGGTGATTGGTTACTTTAGGTACTTGTGTAGTGTCTATAAAGATAATAGAGTGAGTGTGGTGATTGGCTGGTGTTGTCAGCAGGACTATGATGTCATCTTATAATCTGTAGAGTTTGTTGTCTTAGGTTTGTGTAGTTTGATGAAGATAGCTTCTTTGACTTTTCTATCTCTCCATTAGTGAGCTTTGCCAAAAATTCTATATTGATCCCACTTTATGATATGTCCTGTTTGGAAGTTATGTCCAACTAAGACTGATTTATCTGGATGTAATAGCACAGTTGCATTTTTATGATCTATAGTCTGTCCAGTTTCCGCATTATTGTGGTACTTCGTAGAAGAGTTTATTTTTGTTTAGACTTGTTTCACCCTAATTTAAATGTTTTGTTGACGTTTTTCTACTTGAACATTAGATTTCCAACAGATACTTGTGAGTTTTTAATTTAACTTGGGAACGTAGAGTAGAGAAACGATCAAGTGTTGGTTCTTGGTGGCAGATATAAAACTGGAAGGGTTTCTTTTCTTTTTGAAAACTTTATTGACAAATAACGGGTACTTCCTGTTTTATCTCGACCACCAAGTTTCACAACACTAACAACAAGACCCTAACAAGTCTAATTAAAAGTAACTCATCTATGAAGTACCCTGGTCATGAAGAAACAAGACTATCACATCCAGATAAATCAGGCTTAGCTGGAGATAACTACAAAACAGGACATATCATAAAGTAGGATCAATATAGAATTTTAGACAAAGCTCACTAATGGAGAGAAAGAAAAGTAAAAGAAGCTATCTTCATCAAACCTACAACAGTTTGCACTTCAGTGACCTGTGGACAACCATCCTCAACAAACTATACATATAACAAGATGACATCACAGTCCTGCTGACAATACCAGCCAATCACGACACCCATACCTCCTGCACTTACCTTTATAAAATAGTACACAATTATTTACAGTGAGCTGAAGAAGGCCTCAGTATAGAAATCGAAGTGAAGTCTCCTTTTCTTTCGACAGGCAGTTGCCATTCATTAAAGTTTTCAACCCCACTCTCCGTAAAGTTACAGTGAAACAACAGCTAGTTAAGTTGTAAACTCATCAATCTTTGTTTCGTCTGCCGAATTTTCTCTAAGAGCTGCAATGATACCCTCCACTCTGCTGTTTCTCCAAAAGCTGTTGATTTTTCTCTAGTTTCTCACTCTTGTTGCCTGATAGCGTTTTGAGCTGCCTTATAGCACTGTTCTGAAACCGTTCTACACACCTATAAACACTGTTCTGAAACCATTCTACACACCTATATAGTACTGTTCGGAAACCGTTCTACACACCTATATAGTACTGTTCTGAAACCGTTCTACACACCTATATAGTACTGTTCTGAAACCGTTCTACACACCTATATAGCACTATTCTTAAACCGTTCTACACACCTATATAGCACTATTCTTAAACCATTCTACACACCTATATAGCACTGTTTTGAAACCCTTCTACACACCTATATAGCACTGTTCTGAAACCATTCCACACACCTATATAGCACTGTTCTGAAACCGTTCTACACACCTAGAGATAAAGAAAGAGCTACTCAGTAAAAACGTGGATTTATTTCTTTTTTTAATCAGAACATTTGTCTGAGTTAATGGAATGTAGACTATTAGAACATAGTTATAAACCATCTGTAACACAGATCTCATGTACGTGGTTTATGTTAACATAGAAGAGAAGGAATGTAGGCTATTAGAACATAGTTATAAACCATCTGTAACACAGATCTCATGTACGTGGTTTATGTTAACATAGAAGAGAAGGAATGTAGGCTATTAGAACATAGTTATAAACCATCTGTAACACAGATCTCATGTACCTGGTTTATGTTAACATAGAAGAGAAGGAATGTAGGAGATGGTGTATGATCCATGGTCCTAGAAATCTCCTGTAATTAAAACAAACAGTGAAACTACTGATTTAATCTACAAACCTTTTGTAAAGAAGTACATAGTTTGTTTGGTTGGGAGATTATATGGAACTACTCGGGAGATAACAAACTACTTAATAAATATGTGATAAGAAGATAAACCAGAAACTGTTATTAAAGCTATTCCTTATAAAGTTAATGTAACTATAATGATGATAAAATCGTAGATATATTGTAAAACAACTACTGAAGAAAAACTCCACTCTGACTATAAAACAACAGTTCATTACTTAAACAATCAAACTACTACTGAAGAAAACTCCACTCTGATTATAAAACAACAGTTCACAACATAAACAATCAAACTTCTACTGAAGAAAAACTCCACTCTGACTATAAAACAACAGTTCATTACTTAAACAATCAAACTACTACTGAAGAAAAACTCCACTCTGACTATAAAACAACAGTTCATTACTTAAACAATCAAACTACTACTGAAGAAAAACTCCACTCTGACTATAAAACAACAGTTCACAACGTAAACAATCAAACTACTACTGAAGAAAAACTCCACTCTGACTATAAAACAACAGCTCACAACGTAAACAATCAAACATCTACTGAAGAAAACTCCACTCTGACTATAATACAACAGTTCACAACATAAACAATCAAACTACTACTGAAGAAAAACTCCACTCTGACTATAATACAACAGTTCACAACCTGAACAATCAAACTACTACTGAAGAAAACTCCACTCTGACTATAAAACAACAGTTCATTACTTAAACAATCAAACTACTACTGAAGAAAACTCCACTCTGATCATAATACAACAGTTCACAACGTATGTGAACAAATGTACCTCTGGAATTAAATACATTTCATTTCCAGATATCTTCATTGTGGGTTCTACAGGTTTCTCCCCATCGAGTAACTGTGGTACAGGATGACATCAGAGAAACTGAGTTTCTACCAATTTCGCGAAAACATCTTTTACTTGATTTGTTGACACATTTGAAACATGAACAACAATTTTGAAGTTGACTCCAGAATTAAATTCTAATAACAATATACACTATTTTACTTATAATTTTCTCTGCATAAAACCCTTACAATAAACTTATCAAGTTTTTATCAGATAAATGTACGAGTTCAGTACTTGAATTAAACTATTTTCACCGACAAAAACAGAATAACATTTTAATACTTTTTATTAACCTAAATATGCAGATTAATTTTTTTTTCTGGATTGACATTCTCAATATAAGACTTTATAAGTGTAGTTTATTTCTTGGAATAACGGCTTTTAAACTTCTCTGCCTGATCTTCTGATCGGAATTTAGGTCTTTGTGACCTAGGAGGGTCAGGTACTCTGAGACCTCTTCCTCTCTCTCTTTTCTTCTGAAATAAGTTTAAAAAAGTGGGAACTGAGCTGCCATCTATTATTATTGTTTGAAATAATAATAAACAGCCAATGACATGAAA